GGCGGGACAGATTACGGGTCAAACTGCTGCACGTTTCTGGATTGCTCCTTGCTTCTCCTGCGCGCCGTCTTTTGCCCGCTCTACAAATATAATCTAAATGCATGTATGGGTCCCCATCACCAAAATGGACGTTCTTACCCATGTAGTTACCCACGTACGGGCCTGCCAAAGTTTTTTACGGGCAAGCAGCTAACTCGGAAACCAGAGAAGCTGGAAAGCTGAAATTTTAAGGGTGCGTCTCCTGTCTAAGTAGGTCTTGACGAGTTCAAACCCAGCCATCGAGTATGCGTTGTACTCACGTACGAGCCCGCCAAATTCTTTTCCGGGTAAGTTGCTAGTCGGACGCCTGAAAAGCTAGAAGACTGGAATTTTAAGAAGATGTTCCTTTGCAAATGAGCTCAGACTCAGACACCGGGTATGCGTGGCACCCACGTACGGTTTCCTGAAATTTTTTTTGCGAGTAACCTGTTAACTCGGAGACCTGAAAAGCTAGAAGACTGGAATTTTAAGGGAAAGTTCCCCGCCCATGCAAGTCTTAATGAGCTCAAACCCAGCCCCAGTATGCGTCATTCCTACGTGTGAGCCCGCGAATTTTTTTGCGAATAAGTTGCTAACTCGGGAACTACGAAATCTAGAAAGCTGAAATTTTAACGGGATGTTTTCTGACAATCCTGGCGGTTAGTCTCAGTTCTTTTGGCTAGAAGAATCTGCTCAAAAAACCAGTGCCGCTAGCGAGAAAAATCTTCGGGGAACTATACAGAAAACGCATCTTTGTATCGGCAGCCGGTGTATTGGCCATTTATTTTCTTAGTGTGAAAAATTACAGCATCGTGTTCTGCTAAGCTGAACATCTTTGTGAAGTCAGCGAATAGCAAACCATAAATGAACTTTTCTTTTTGCGCTGCTTTAGAAATGTGAATGATATTGGAAAAGTGTCTTTTAAAACGTATTTTTTTCGTCCTGAATCAAGAATCATTTCAGTTCGACGCAAATTCTTCCTTTTCTATGCTACGATGGTGAACTGAACATCTAACAGAAAGTGAAATGAATTTGACTTCCCATTGATTGTGAACATAGTTGTAAAGGTTGGCTGAAACATAAATTTGATAATGATGACGAAAATTAGGAAGTGCGATGAGACATAATCGTTTTAGGAAGCAAGAAACTTACGTGTATAAAGGATGTCGGAGAGGACGATCGGTGAGAAGTAGAGCAAAATTGTTAAAAGCCGCTTCCTCATGAAAGATTTTTGTGCCCAATTTGACTTGTAAATTGAACGGATTACCTGTAACAAACAAACGAACTGCCAAGATGCTGCGTTATAAAAGGAAAAACCACAAAAATATAAGTAATCTATTAGCTGTTGAAGGTGGATATAGGATGTCGGAGGACGATCGGTGAGAAATAGAGCAAGCAACTTTGTTGTCATGTAGAAGGTCAAAAGTTCGATTCCGCTGCCAGAACAAACGTTTTTTTACATTTCATTCGTTTCGATGGCAAACTGGTACTGCTGCGTATACTGTTGCGTGCTGGAGAATAAAACTCTCCATCAGCTTAATTAAATAATCACCGTAAAGGGGCGCTATCAATTGTTTTGTAGTCGTCGTTGTTGCTGACACCTGCTATTGCTTGTACTCGCTTTCACTGCTCCTACCTCGCATAGAAGATGGATACGGGATTAGGTTTGGTTTTGAAATGTTAAAGTTTTTGTCCTTTTTTGGTTCATGCATTTTTTAAGTTTATTGAGCTCAACCTGAATGACTTACAGGTTTCTGACTGCTCCACAGAGCAAAATTTCCGGATGTCAGTTCAAACACTCTTGATGCATTTGATAACGAAAGTTCTCCTGAAGCCAATGTAGCACCCCTATCACCGTTGTTACTCGGTCCCTTGAAGACCACCCTGTTGTTGCTGAGAAGTCCAATTCGACTTCTCCGTCGCGAAGAGTTGAGATAGATATCGAACGGCGCCCCATTGTTTATCTAATCCGCTCTTTGTACTGTCATTTCGAAGAGCGAGCTGTCCATTCCTCCCCCACCTCGGTGTGATTTATCGTCCCCACCTACGGGGCGTTTATCCTGTGCAAAATAACAGCTCGAGACGTCTGGCAGACAGCAGCAAATATTTATGAAGGTCCGCGAAGAAGTGAGGGGTTGACTAAATGAGGTAGCAGGCCACTGATATTTTGTTTCTTTGTGTTCGAATATTTTAACATTTGTTGTTCAATCTTTTTCCTGGATGGGAAGGCAGTTTACAAAGGCAAGTCAAAACGTCAAAGAACCACTACGTTATAGGGAGCAGTGATCACAAAGTTTTCCGAAATGAAATAGTGGCCCCGGAGTGGCTCAGATTGAAAGTCGCATTTGCAGCACTTCTGGTGTCCGAGAAGAGGGATTAAAATCATGGTGTCCCAAATTAGTCAAAAACTTTTGGAAACTTCTCCATCGGTATTCGTTTGGGAATAGATAAAGCCAAAAC